AGGAATTAATGTTACTGTGTAAAATTTAACAACGTGATGGGAGAGAAGAAAACAGCCCCTGTGATGGTCAAGAAAGTCAGGTCACGTCCGTAGTCGAGCACATGCTGTGCAGGGAGGTGAAGAGATGCACACACAGAGCACGTGAAAGCTCAGACACAGGCGAGCAAGAGCCAAAATCACATGTCCCCAGGAGTGGATGACCCACCGAAGTACGGTGGGTAATGGACATCCAAAATATCAGATGGGCTGTGATCAAAATGTAGTGCTAGGTGAGAAGTGGGAAGGCAGCAATAAAATCACACAGGAGATCCTTAAATGTACAAATTGAAGATACTCCAGTAAAACTCCAGAATGATTGCTTGCTTACATGAAAAAGGATCGGTGTGGTTTTCCTACCCTTTCATACATCACCTGAAAGGCTGGGGGAGGATCCTGCACAACAGCAGGGAAAGAAGAACCACCACCCTTTCATACAAAGGATTCTGAAATTACAGGGTGGGAGAGAATCACAGTCTCTAGACGAAACAATTTTTAACTGAAGTCTGCTCTTAACTCTGCGTCCAGTCACCGTCAGCAAGAGTCACGACCAGTCCTGGTAGTCACAACCAGGACTACCTGCGCCAAACTGCGAGGTGCTGGGGCACAGCAAGGATGAGGTGACCTCCTCTAGTCCTTTCCAGCTCTGTTTTTTGTGATGGTGGAAGTTTTCTTGATCTGTAATGCTATCTGACCATGCTGAGAAGCAACAGAGAGCAGCTAACAGTGAGGAAATGTCTCATGAGAGACTGCCCCGGAGTGGGAAGCAATCAGATCTGCACCAGAGGAGTGGAGCATCCTGTGAAACGCTGTAAACATCATAGGCAGCTATTCTGGGCAATTTTAATGATTTAGTGCAGGACCGTGACCCAGGGAACGCTCTCCTGGCTCGCTAAGGGACTTCAGCCTGCTCTTTTTGTTGTGTTCTTCATGTGACATTGTTGCTTGCAAAAATAAATGGAGAGAGGCAATTCTTCCCTCTGCCGAAGAGCAGAGGTACAAATTCTGGGCGAGCAGAGGTAACACCATCTCCATGGCGGGCCCAACCCGCCCATGCCTGCAGGCTTTGGGTCAGATGCCTTAGAAAAGGGGTAGTTTTATCCCCCATGCCCAAGTTTTCCACTGTCCTCAGGGAGTGATTAGCTGTGCTAGTTCATTTTTGTGGCATTTTTGGTGGGTTTTGCGTCTGCCAAGTCATCATCTGGTATAAAATAGTGACATTTTAACTGGACTGTGTTACAAAGGCTTTGTAAGAAGTTTTAGTGGGAAACTGGCTCCATTACTGTTACAAGATAAAGGTACTGGTATCAGTGTGCCCTCCGTTATCCAGAGTCCCTGTTACTCATAACAGGGTCACGTCCTCTGACATGTCTTAATTATGTGGAAACTCCTCAGACTCCCTTCAAATATTTATCTCGTGTGTGCAGGCAACTTGCGTTTTTTTTCTGTATTAATACAGATCCGTAGCTGAGCCTCTGGCCAGATGCTCACCCCCGATACAGGGGAGGTGCTCTGAAGTTAGTGTCAGTATTTCAGAGATTAAAAGTCAGCCAAGACAGAACAATGCTGGAAAGTCTCGGGTGAGGTTTTATGCAAGGTGGAGGCATCTTTTTTGCTCACGGAGGGAATGCCTTTAATTCCAGTGAAATCTTTAACTCCTATCAGGCAGGACGCCCTTTCCAGTCTGACCCATGATACCGTTAATAGCCATCCAAGGGTTTCCACTTTATCTAAGGAAATGCATAATCAGAGGGGAGGAGAAGTTAAAGAAATCCATGCCTACACTTGACTCATACAAAGTCTATTTTTATCGTATTCAATCAGGAACAATCAGGCGCAGAGAGGAGACGCAGATGAATTTGCATGATCAGACTTCTGTGTCTTAAATGTTAATTAAAAGTTATTTTAAATTTGCCTACTGTGCAGAACTTGTTTTTATAGTAGCCCGTGTAAGGGAAATATTATTTCACAGGGCTGAAGTGCTCATGATTAGTTGAGCTTGTGGATTCTTGGGAAAACCTGCCTGGCAATCAACCTCTCCTTTAAAAAAAAAAATAATAATAAAATAAAATAAAAAGAAAAAAAAAAAACCCTGGGCTATTCAAGTTCTTTAAGCTCCTGAGCCTTAGGAGGTCTTATTTAAAGCTACTTTAAAATTTGCCCTTTGGCACTGCTTTGACAAT